CACCTGATGTAAGATTTATTCCTTTTACTTAATTAAAAATTCAGAAGTTCGTTCAAATAATTATCTTAGGCCATCTTAGAAAAGAACCTTGCGGGCCGGGGATTTAGCTCAGTGGCACCGCACCTGCCTTGCAAGCGCAAGGTCCTGAGTTTGATCCCTGGTATTGAAAAAAGAAAAGAAAAGAAAAGAAAAGAACCTTGCTTCTGGAGGCACACAATGTCACATTTCCAACCAGGCAGCTGCTGAGGACCACCCTCTCTTCTGGGGTTCCCTGGCACTGGGTGGAGCACATCCAGGATAGGACTGGATGGGTGGGGCCAGGGAAGGGATGAAAGGGGCCGAGTGCCCTGGAGTGGAGGTAACCTGGTTCATCTTGGCTGTGTTAAATAGTATTAAAGTCATCAGTTCTGGCATCAGACAGACAAGGATTCAAGTCCCACAGTGCCACCTACCAGCTTCACATCCTTGGGGAATCCCAAAACCAATGTGAACCTCTTTTTTCTAATTTATTACAATGGAAAAACCATGCCATATCCATCACAGTCAAAACAGGAGACAGAAACCAAAGCAGTTATCTGATCAATGAGAATTAAATATAAAAAAATGCTACCAGGTGTAAAGTTAACCAAGTGACTGATAAGATTAAAAAATAGCACAACAGGGCTGGGGATTTAGCTTAGTAGTTCCACCACCTGCCTCGCAAGCTTGAGGTCCCGAATTTGATCCCTGGTACCAAAAAAAAAAAAAAAATAGCACAGCAGAATCAGCAATAGCAACTATAGGAAATGGCTCCCAAAGTGGGGGAAAAAGGAGACTGTGGAAGGGCGATCTAGGGTCTCTGTGGATGGAGCGGCAGTGAGCTGGTGCTGACGTCTCTGAGGTTGTGCAACATGGCTGGCTCCATGGCAAGGGAGAAACTGCAAACTGGATTCAGATGCAGCTCCAACAAGGTATGGATATTGCCGATGTGAGGCTCATGGGAACAGGAAATACAAGTAGATCCAAGCCCTCAGGGAAAGAGCTAAGTCCTGGTTCCTTCCTCAAGTTTTGCAGTCTCCTGGTTTTCCCTTTGGCAGAGCCCAACAGGGAACAGTTGGCAAAGCAGAATGTGCCCTGCAAAATCTCAGCCCCAGCATCACAAAGCAGAGCCTAGAACAGTAGGTTGGGAGCTGAGAGATAAAAACCTAGTAATTGACACAAATGCCATTTATTGATTACTCACTACATGCCAGGCACAAGGCCAAGGGCTGTAGATGTACTACCTTATTTAATTGTCATAACAACTTAATAGAACAAAGCCTCCCCACTTTTCAGATGAGTAAATAAGGCAGCCAGGTTTCTCTGACTTCCTAACTCCTCTGAATAAAGGACAAGACACTGTCTGGGTCTTATCTCTATAAGTAGATCTTGTGTCTTCCCATAGCCTCATCCCCTCCCCCCTGCTCCAAAAGGAATGGAAAGTTAGGCAAGTTTGTAGAGTAATCAATTTGTGATTCAGAAGTATACATAATGTAGCCCTGACATCAAGCTGATGGGAAGAATGAACAAGAGATACATGAGGGAATTCACCTTTCAGGAAGAATGTGTCATTCAGAAAAGCTGTAAACACAGGAGGAGTCCCTAAGAGCATCCCACAGGGAGCAGGTATCCTTCTTGGTGCCTCGAGCCATTACTGTGGCCTAGGCACAGGCTGAACAAGGAGTTCCAATTTCACTGAGAGCAGCTGAGATGACAGGTGGAATCTTCCTGAACTTTCTTGGTTTCAGTGAAGACAGCACAGACTTTTGCAACAGCACTTTGTGGAGCAACTGTCATGTTGTCTCAAACAGTTTCAGAGGAAGAGCTAACCTACAGAAAGTACTGTTGGGATCAGAGCCCCCAAGGATCGGTGAATCTAGCTGCCTCAAGTGGAGCACTGTGCACAGTGATTCACTAAGAAGGGTAGGCAGTGACAACCCCTGTGAAGATGTGAAGGAAGCAGGATTGGGAACTGCAATGCAGAGACAGATATGTCTGCCAAGTTCACCCTCAGGTGGAACTAGATGGCACTGTCAGACTCTTCCTAGCTAGGGGCAGATCTTTTAACTGCTACAAAAACCGGGGTTTGAGTGCTTGGCTTTCAACATGGAAGCCACCACCACAACATCCACTACATCATCCATCAACTCAAAAAACATTCATAGAATAACTACTACAAATCGAGAATTGGACTTATGAGTACAGCTCAGTGATACAGCACTTGCCAAGCATGCAACAAACAGACAAAGTACTGAGAACTTGGAACACATCAGTGCTGGCACTGAGAACATATCAGCATTCAAGACAAACAAATAGACAAGTTAGAGTTACATTTACCAAACCTTTCTTTGCCACATTGACCTCATCTATAAACTATAACAGTTCCTACAGCAATAAGATTGCTGAGTGAATCTAAAGAGTGACTGACATAATGCACATAAAGTTCTTTAAATTCTTAGGGCTAGGGATTTAGCTCAGTGGTTCCAGCACCTGCCTTGCAAGTGCAAGGTCCTGAGTTCGATCCCCAGTAACAAAAAAAACAAAACAAAAAAATTCTGCCAGGTGTGTGACAAGCTCTCAGTATTATATGTTGCTATGTCCACTCTCCAGTATTTCAAGAGTACCTGGAGGGCAGTCAACTCCACTTCGACCATGTACAGTCATCTTGGTATCCATGGGGAATTTGTTAGGATCCCCCCACCCCCACGCGCATGCACACACACACACACGCACGCACACTAATACCCAAATCCACAGATGCCCAAACTCATTTTATAAAGTAGTGTAGTATTTGTACATAATCTAGGCATAGCCTCACATGCATTTCAAGTCATCTATAAATTACTTAAAATACTTAATACAATGTAAATGCTACATAGTTTATTCTATGTTGTTTAAAGACAATGATAAGAAAATAGTCTTGTTTGAAACAGATGCAAAATTTTCCCCAAATATTTTTGATTAGTGATTGGTTGAACCCATAGATACGTGGATACTAAGGGCCAACTATACTTCTGAAGAATAAAGGAGCCCCTGGGAGATAGCCACTTAAGGAAGAACGAGTTGGGACACTGGGCCTGGCCCAAGAGCAATGATAAACTATCTCTGAAGGAAAGGTATGGTTCTTGGTAATCTAGCTTGTGGATTCAGGGCAAGCCCAGCTGCCCATGGACTCAGTACAAGAAAGCTGAGACAGAAGTAACAACTCACAGGGCCTTTTTAGCTAAAATCTTGATGGCAAAGGAGGTGGGGAGTATAGGTGTTAAGTATCACCCCAAAGAGCTGTTTAACAAGTACTCAAGAGATTCTACTCTAGGAGAGTCTCTAGGGACTCCCAGAATAATTTGGAAGGAAGATGAGGGGTTGGAGTTCCCACATTGCTGGTGGGGATAAACCCAGAGGACTTCTAATTTGTATGCTATAATGGACCTCTTTGTCCTTCCATCTGCCTCATGTCACTGCCTCGGCTGGGTGGCCTGAGATATTAAGAATTTCATTTAGGTAATTGACATCTATTGTTTCACTCAGCTTCCATTCTTCCTTCTGGTAACCATGGCACAATTTCCCTCAGGGTATTCACAAGTTCTACCTCTCTCCATCTATCAAATTATGGTGAGATTAACTCTACCCTTGGCTTGAGGTATGGCCATGTGGATCAAGCCCAGCCAATCAGAAAGAATAATAATTTTCTTTTGGTCAAAATGATAGGTTCAGGAATGGGCACACAATCCAAACAGAGGCAATAAAGCTCAATGTTATTTTTGCTGACAATCCTTGGATCAAAGATAATTACTCTTTATCTAGGAGGCTTGAATGAGATCTGCTGCTGTTTCAGGAATCTTGGGAACACATGAGATAGGGATAGTAATTTTTGGAAACCAAACCAACTTAGAGGAGAATAAAAGTGAGAGATAGTGTTGTTGTGCCCAGATCACGAAGTCCCCAAAGACCACCAAGGAGCCGATTCTGATGCAAACACATGAGGGTCGTTTATTCAAGCTCGAGCAGGGACTCACAACCGTCACCGGTGCAGCGGATCAAGATCGAGAGCCCCGAATTTCAAATTAGCGGGGTTTTTATAGAGGTTACAGCAAGGTTTGAAGATTTTCCATTTAGCAGTTACATGATTGGTTGACAATTAGCAAGCATGAAGTGTATATTTTTGATTGGCCAGGTGCATTGGGGGGTTGAGGGGCGGTTACATGTAGGTTTTACGAGGGAAATGAGGGGCAAAGGTTGGTGGTCAACTGTCATGTACTGATGGTCAGCAGACACACTGACTATTAGTCATGACCATTACATACTGACAGTCAGCACATCTACAGATTGTTCTATGGATAGGGGGCCTGGAACGTTCATTTCCTGGGCAAACAGATGGCTGAGTAATTAACTTAGGAACTTTGGTTTGTTACAGATTGTATCTTCTGTCCCAGAGCAAAGACATTTTAACCATTAATTTGAGAGGCTAGGGGAATGGTGGATTTTAGCAAAATGGAGTCGCTTTGGTCTCACATCCCCCCCTTCTCATGATGCTATAGAGGACCAATCATGGGCCTCTGGGGGTTAATTTTATTAGGTCTGTAGAGACTGGCTGGTATTGGGACCTGAGTACCATCAGCTGTACAGTGTTAATGTGTTCTCTGATGAACGAGACTCTGGCAACACTACAGCTAGACGACTCAAACAGCAACGGGTCTTGGTTAAATTTGCTGGAATATAATTAAAGGTTATTCTTTCACAGGTATAAAACCATCCTGTGGGCAGGGAGATATGGCAATTGTTATACACAATTTTTTGTTTTATATGGCAGGACATCCCTTTTGACCGTTTTATCCTCAGACATTTGGTTGTACAATTTTCATACATAGCACATTCAGTTTTGTTTGACATAATTACCTTGGGTGTATATAATTTGACAGCATTTTTAGGTTTACGGCAGGTGTCATGCCCCCAATTATAACTATCCAGGTAAGATTTTTTCCTGGGATGTCCTTAAATAGGGTATAGGGTCGTATTAATTTTAAAGAGGTGCATACTGGAATGAGACAGCTTCCCAGCACATAACGGAAATTTACATCAACATTTAAGCAGAATTCAGACAAGTTAAGCAAGTTTGCCAATTGAATCCATACATTTTTTGTGTGATCTAGTCCTCTTGGGGACAATAATGCCAGTGTCCCAGAGAATATTATCATTAAGGTGAAACATCTCCAACCCATTCCAGTCTTAGCTTTTGGCCACCTGGTTGGCTGATAACCTTCCATTTGTCCTTTTTGACATCTGTGGAGGGTCCTGCTTTTAGATGGTTGCGATGTATCCAGGCAGAATGTCCAGCCACCTTCACTGCCAAGGGAGTTGACAGGACAGCAGGAACCGGTCCCTTCCAACGAGGTTCCAGGGTCTTGGAATCAAACCTGCGAATTAAAACCAAATCTCCCGGCTTATAGGGTAAAGGTTGTAAAGGGTTTTCATTTGGACTAGTCATTTTCTTTCATAATGTCTCGTGTAGCTCTGACTGAAGCTGATGAACTGCTTTTAAGGATTTAAGGAGTCGAAGGTGGGAAAACTTTTTCCTTTAATTCTACATCTATTAATGGAACGATTGGGGGAAATTGCCTATAAACAATCTGGAAGGGGGACAGATTGAGGGGAGGCTTGGGAGTGCACCTCATTCGGAGGAGGGCAAAAGGGAGAAGCTCTACCCAACCTAGTTCAGTCTCCAAGCATAATTTAGTCAGAATCTCCTTTAAAGTTCTATTTGTTCTTTCTACCTGTCATGAACTTTGAGGCCTATAGGCACAGTGTAGATTCCACTTTATTTCAAGGATATTACTAATTAACTTAGATATCTTAGCCATAAAGGGTAGACCATTGTCGGACCCCAGAGCTAAGGGCAAACTAAAATGGGGAGCTATTTCTGTCAGGAGCCTTTTAACTGTTACTTCTGCTGTCTCCCTCTTGGTGGGGTATGCTTTTACCCATCCTGAAAATGTATCCACAAAAACTAGCAGGTACTTGTACCCATACATGCCAGGCTTTATTTCAGTAAAGTCCAACTCCCAATGTTCTCCCAGAGTTAGTCCTCTGTGTCGGACCCCAGGGGGCCCGGTTACCCGATTAGCATTTACCTTGAGGCAGGTGGGGCATCGTCTCACCATGTCCTGGGCCTTTTGGGCTAATCCCTGGCTGATGAAATGGGGTTGTAAGGCAGCCATCATCCTTTTCTCACCGAGGTGGGTAGACTCATGTAGTTCTCGCAGCAACGTGTCTGCTACAGCGGCTGGGAGCACCACTTTTCCTTCCTTAGTGGTTCACCACCCATGTCTTTCTCGAGTCCAGCGTCTCCTGTTTATTTCCATTATCTCCTTGTCTGTATATTCAGGTTTTTCTGGGAGTACTGGTGTGGGAAGCAGAACCATTTGCTTCCCCACTGATTTTGGGCAGCTTGTCTTGCTGCCTGATCAGCAGCATTATTACCAATCACCTCGGGGCTTGACCCCTTTTGGTGCCCACGGCAATGGATGATGGCAACCTCTTGGGAAAACCAGATGGCTTGTAGCAGTGCCAATATCTCAGTCTTATTTTTAATTTCCTTTCCTTTAGAGGTCAACAGTCCTCTATTTTGATAAATTTCCCCGTGTATGTGGGCGGTAGCAAAAGCATAACGGCTATCAGTGAATATATTTATCCTTTTTCCTTTTCCCAATTCCAGAGCCTTAGTTAAAACAATCAGCTCAGCCCTCTGTGCTGATGTCCCTTGAGGTAGCCCCTGCTCCCATTCCACCTGTTGGTCCTGGTTGACCACCGCCACTCCAGCATACCGTACACCATCACGAACGAAACTGCACCCATCAGTATAGAACGTTATCTCTGCACTGGGGAGGGCCTGGTCCGTCAAGTCCGGACGTCCTCCCCTTGAGTTTTCAAGAGTCTCGAGGCAATCATAGATGGGCATTTGTCAGATTCTGGGAGTAGAGTAGCCAGATTGAGGCCAGCGGTGGTGGCAAACTTAATGTGTGGCTGTTTTAATAAGAGTCCTTGATATTGTAACAGTCTGGCATTAGACAGCCATTTGCTAGGTGAGCTATTCAACAAGGGCTCAATGGCATGGGGAGTGATCA